AAGCATCCTACTTCCGGGGAACAATGCTTGGAAACTAGTACTAAACTTGACGCTGCCAAAGTCTTTTATCAAGACCTATACACCGAGGAAGAAATTGATCTCAATTGTGTGGAAAGAATGCTACAATATATCGACAAAACAATTCCAGCTGAGGACTCACAGGACATCATTGAAGACATACCTTACGAAGATATCATTCAAGGATCTCGAAGAACGCCAAATGGTAGTAGTCCGGGCCTGGATGGTATATGTTACGAAATTTTGCACCTTCTAGTAATCAACCCGAGCTGTGAAGCGATTATTCTGCAAGTGTTCAACGATGCTTTATCACTAGGCAAATTCCCAAAATCCTGGCAGGAATCATGTATTGTGCTGCTACCAAAGAAAGGGGATATGACTGACCTTGGCAACTACCGTCCAATAACCCTAATAGCCTCTGATTGCAAAGTGTTTACCAGACTACTTAACTCACGAGTCATAGAGGTAGCAAGTGACCTTATAGGCCCCCACCAAAGTGGTTTCCTGAGAGGTAGATACATTGGAGACCATGGGATGTCGTTGAAAGTGATTGTAGACAATGCACGTGAAGCAAGATGGAACAATTCTGGAGAATTTGTCGAATATGCTGGGATTATGCTGGACAACGCCAAAGCGTATGATAGGGTACATCCCCAGTATCTATCCAAGGTCCTAGTGAAGTTTGGTTTCCCAAAACAGTTTGTCCAATGCATCTGCAAGTTATTCTTCGACAACTCCATTTACGTGAATGTCAATGGCTTTTTAACAGATCCTATCGAGCAAAGACGCGGCATCAGACAAGGAGACAGTATATCACCAATGCTGTTCAACTTGGCTATTGAACCATTTCTGCTATCTGTGACCAAAAGTACAACTATCTCGGGGTATAGTCTCCAGCACGTCAAGCCTATAAGCAAGAGAACAAACAGTTGGGTGGCTCCTCCTCCATTGAAAGTACTCGCATATGCGGATGATGTCCTGACTTTCGTCAAGTCTCGGGCAGAACTTCTTGATCTGGAAGAAAGATTGAGAACTTACAACAAGGCCTCGAACTCCAAGATCAACTACGACAAGTCCGTGGCCTTCCCTCTTCATGGTGGAAGAATGACAAGCCAAACTGGTGGCCTAATTCAAGATCATGCAACAAACAATCTCAAAATCAAATGGTATGATTCTACGTCTACAGGATTTATAAAATACCTAGGTTATCCAATTTGGTTCTGCAATCAACAAAGAGACGTATACATCGCTAAACTGCTGGGTGATATCACTACTGCTGTTGAAAGGTTTGCAGCACGACAAGTCTCACTGTACGGCAGAGCGAATATTGCCAACACTATGATATTGTCCAAACTATGGCATGTCATTCGGATCGTTTCCCTGCCCAAAGACACAGTCAAGAAGATAACCTCAATCATTTATCAGTTTGTAATGTCTGACCTGTATCCACCTCTAAAGGGCAACTCTCTCTTCCTACCAAGGTATCAAGGCGGTTTAGGACTGATTGATATAATGGCGCAACAAAAGGTTCTGCAATTCAGATACCTGAACGCTTTGCTGACAGAAAACAGCAACAACATACCTGGTCTCACGTATAGGCTACTAGTGGATTATTTGAAGATGTCGCACGACTCACCATCGCACATAATCCCTATACTGTTCCAAACGGCTAGATACAAAAACCAGTTAAGAGGCTTCCACCCTTATCACATGATGTTCGAGGCAATAGATACTTATATGAAGCATTCCCCATTCTCACTCGCTTGGTCTGTCAAACCAAATGTCATGACACTCTTGTCATTGCCAGTGCTGGAAATTCTTGATTTTGTCAATGAGGAAGTAGCCATGGGATACACAAGCAGAGACTCGATCAGGGAGAGTAAAGTTCATGACTTCTTCCACGTCAACCAGGAAACAAGTACTCTGCAGATAAAGCCAAGAAGTGAATGCAAGCGACCAAACATTAGGAATCAGATAGAAAGAGGTCTTCTCTGTGGGAACATCAGATTGGAATCTTTCGCGGATACAAGAAACATGGAGGCTCATCTAGACCTACAGCCTTTCGTTGCTATGCTTAACTACCAAGACCGCCCAATGCTTCAAATGTCAAACAAATACTTGAGATCAATTATGCTGGACATACACAACCTTGATGTTGGACGAAAGTTCAATCATACCATCAGCAAAGTCCAGTGGAAACACTTCTATCATCAAAACATGCATCACTCTGTGAGAAATGTCTGGTATAGAATGATACACAAGCAATGCCCGAGCAAATCAGCTCTTTTCGTTCGACGCCTGAGGAACGTCGAAGATGACAAATGTACCCTCTGCAATGATACTGAAGATGCCAAACATCTCATGGTTAGCTGCCCCCACAAAAACGACATTTGGTCCAACATCTTTGAACAATTCCTGGGATACCCCAAGGTTGCTAATCCACAACAAGTATACCAATCTATAGTTAACTTAAACCTGAAGCAATATTTCATCTACAGCCTCGATATCAAGATTACAATCTTCGACCTGTTTGCTGCCACCATTCGTATGATATGGAGATTCCACCTCCTACAAACATTCGAAGGAGTGCCATTTGATACCAACAATGTCACCAACAAGATCAGTGCTGAAGTGATGAGATTGTCAGATCTCAAGCATCAATATTAGTAGTAGCTTTAATAGATTTTATATATGGCAAGTCACTTTGTTACATACACTTGTCCATCATTTGATGTTCTTATTATAATGTATATTTACTAATAAATAAGCAACATCCATACAAAAAAAAAAAAATTTTCATCGAAAATCAAACGATCGCGTTTTTGACCTTGAAAATGGAGACTTTCACTATGGTATATCTTGAATCAAAATGTTTCTTTCAACCCAAAGCAATTTTTGAAACCATCTTTATGAGATCTTTATATGCAAAATTTTGACATTTTGGCCAAAAACCTTATTTCGTATTTTTTGAAATTGCTCAATAAGTTCATTCAAAAAATCTATTTTACTTGGCATCATTGGAAGCGCCTTGAAAAGAGCTACAAGAATGTATTAGGAAGCATCTGATGATAATTACAACTTCTATAGTCGAATATCACAAAATAGATTAAAGAAGTCGGCAAAAGACAAAATTTGGCCAATTTTGAGCAAAAGAGAAATATACTGAGTTTCAATCTATTTTAGCAGGCGGCGCTGCTGCCGGCTGGCCCAAACAGTTTTCTGATGATGCCAATAATGATCGCGATGCTGATTAAATGGTAATCATAGAATTGAAAGGACAATTGCTTAGCTCAAATACTTCTTCTGGGGAGCTTTACCTCATAAAGATGTCTTTTGAAATGACAGTATCTTAAAAACATCGCTGTAGATCTTACACAAGTCCTGTATTTACGGATGGCCAGGTTTATGCCGCCATCTCAGGAGCAACATCAGCAATTGGATATCTTCCCCTCCTGGATCTGATATAGCCTGTTGTTTTGTTTACTATTAATTGATTGTTTAAAACCTACTTGATATACCAGATTTGTATTGTCTGATTTAAAATGTCTTCAGCGAGATTGATCGGCTAGTAAATGAACTGTATATACTGAAAAAAAAAGATTGAGTCAATCTTATATCAAATTAATGTTGCCAGTGATCTGAATCATCGTAGATGCATGGTGCTATTCATGTTTGACGGTAATCGGTCTAAAGAGGGTCCAATGGATGGGATGTTTAGCTCTTGTATTCCTCATTTCAAATCAGTTTGCTGGTATGATTGATACTTACTATCGATTACTGGATGAGATGACAATTAGTTACAGCTGTTGAATAGATGAATTTATTAAATTGTGATAAGCAATAAGCAATAGGCAATGAGAGAAGGGTCTGCCAACCAAAAATGGCTGCGAAATGAGAAAACTTGATGTTATAAGTTTGGTAATTGCATGAGCAATTTAATCAATAGACATGTCAGAATAGATAAATGAGTCAAAAGCAGGCCAAATATTAAATGAGCCTTGGGTTTAGAGTTGTACAACTCGTTTAAGATTAAAGGGAGAATGTAGAAATATAAATAAGAAAGTAGAGGTAGTACAATAACTCGAACAACAAACGTATATAGCGGATTTATGAGATCTTACATGTAGTCAGATTGAGAATAAAGAGCTACAAGACTATACAGGCAAGAATAAGACAAAATCTTTACTGAATAGTTCAATTGGAGTTGCTAATACTAATTTGACTCCTGGATACTAAATGTTATTTGACTCTTTATGAATTCTACCTGTTATAATTTGGAATGAGAGTTTGGGTATTGGCAAATGACTCCAATGCATGACTAACCTTGTCGAGATTGTAGGTTTTCCAATTGAGGGATGCTTTTGTCAAAGAATTTAATGCTTATTCATCCTAATATGATCTTCTTCTAATGGCGTAGAAACTATTCCTTGCATAGACACCTATACTGTATTTGAATGTTATTCTAATATTGTATGTATAAACAGGACTGTAATTTTGGGCCACAATATTTACAAGATGCTTTCTTACTCTCTCTGTACACCTTAATGTTTGTCCTCTTGACTCTGTTGGTGTGTGAACAAGCCTCTGCTTCTTCCGTTTGAGATCAAAGCGCCTACACCAAACAAGCATACCATGTCTATGACACGCTTACAAAAAGAGGTTGGAATCCCCGAGATGGTGAAAAACCTTGTAGAGACTTGTTTAATTTTGTCATCGAGGCCTTGAACAGGAATTTGGAGAAACACGAGCGCTCTGATTATGTTATCTTGTGTCGCATAAAGCCATCTGGAGGCTTCTTTTCCTTTGCTAGCTGTAGCTCTACTACTGGTAATGGCAAACTACCCAAGACCGAATATGCTTTACGTGGCAATAAGCAGACGGATCTAGTACTTAATAAAAAGCTAAAAACTTAGTGTATCAATTCTATTGACTACAATCGTCATGATTTATGTAGATTATTACTCTAATAAACAGATATTTATTTATTCAACACCCAACACCTTCTTGAGCTTCACAACAAGACCCCATTCTTCCTTTGATAAATCGTTACGGAAAGATTCCTTCAAAATGTCAATAGATTGACGAGTGACCTTGGAGTATAATTCATCTGAATCTTCAAAATGACGACCATAAGTCTTTGGAGTTTCATAAACAGCACACTCAATCTTGATGGCAACACCACCACCAGCACCACCCTTCTTGACCATCTCCATAGACTTGTGGTTCTGTTCAATAGAGGTGACCTTACCGAGAGTGACAACTTCACGGGCTTGTGTTTCTGGACTGGTCTTGATCACACAGATCGGTGTGCCAAGGCGAAGTGTACCTTCCACCACATCCACACCGATGATAATGGGATCCTTCTTGTTGATAATAGCACGGGGAATCATTCTCAAAACACAAGGGAAGACGGCATCCCCAGCTTGGTCCTTACGCTTTTGCTCTGTGATGGCAGCATGGTACTCTTGGAAGCGATCAAACAAGTGGTAAATGATATCAGCTGTGAAGATACGAATGCCTAATTCTTCTGCCATTTCCTCGGCTTCCTTGTCTACCTTGACATCGAAACAGAGCATGACGGCAAACTCACGAGCCTTCTCCAGCATGACACTGGCCTTAACGACATCCTTTTTGTGAACGGGGCCAATATTGATACCAGAGACAGGAATCTTACTGGTTCTCAAGAACTCCAAAAGGGCTTCAAGAGCACCCAGCGTAGAAGCCTGGACCCAGACACCGTGACCAGTACGGTCGATGGAAGACATCAAGTTGGTCAAATCAGACATGACTTCCTCCTTCAAATCATCAATGTCATCATCAGGGCCAGCGACTAACAAACGAGAACCAGCAATAGCCTTTTCGAGATCAGGAGCAGAAATCTTGATACCCAAAGCGGCCTTGACAGACTTGTGATGGACATATTGAGATTTGATACGCAATTCACGCATAGGTTGTGGTGTTAAAAGAGCTCTGACAGTGGTAACAATGGGTCCGTTTAAACCACACACCACAATACGATCGCCTTCATGCAACCAACCATTGACCAAGACAACATCGATGGTAGTACCCAGGCCTTCAATGACCTTGACTTCGAGGACAGTACACTCAAGCTCAGTAATGTACATAAGCTTCTCACTCATACGAGATTGAGTCAAGTTGATTAGCAAGTTGAGCATATCAGGAATACCTTCACCAGTGTGAGCAGAGGTAGGCACCAAGGAAACGTACTTGGCAAAGTTCTTGTTCTTGTAGTAGAGTTGAGAATTGAGACCTTGCTCAGCAAAGGCCAACATGGTGTCGGCAACACGCTTCTCGAATTCAGCTTGAACAGAGGGCTTTTGCTTGGCAAGAGAATCACGGAAAGAGTTGTTGGGAATAGCTTTCCATTCAAAGAGACGATCAATCTTGTTGAGAGCGACAATGAAGGGCGTCTTACGATCACGCAACAGACGGATAGACTCCAATGTTTGTGGTTCAAGACCGTGCATGATATCGACCACCAAGATGGCAATGTTACAGAGGGAACTACCTCTGCTTCTCAAGTTGGTGAAAGATTCGTGACCAGGTGTATCAATGACCAAGATACCAGGCACCTTGAGCTTCTCTACGCGATCAGCACCAAGGACGGCAGTCTTCTTTTCAATAGCATCAGCAGGGAAGAAAGTGGCACCAATTTGTTGAGTAATACCACCAGCTTCACCTTCTTGCACGTTGGTTTGACGGATCTTATCCAGCAGCTTGGTTTTACCAGTATCGACGTGGCCCAAAATACAACAAATGGGAGAACGCAAATCGTCCTTGGAACGGGCAGCCATGGCTTCTTGTTGACGCTTCTCGCGACGAGCGGCAGCTTCTTCCTTCTTTTGAAGGGCAAGCTTTTGAGTAGCAGAGAGCTCCTCATCAGAGCTGTCGTCCTCAGAGTCGTAATCAGAGCTGTCATCGTCAGAGTCATCGTCAGAATCATCTTCGGAGTCGTCGTCAGAGTCTTCGGATTCGGATTCTTGCTTCTTGGTAGGTGCCTTCTTTGCGGGAGCAGCCTTAGCAGAGGCGGCCTTGGCGGGAGCAGCAGTAGCTTTCTTGGCGGGAGCAGCAGCAGGCTTCTTTTCCTCTTCGTCACTGGAAGCATCCCAATCACTGTTGAGATCCTCGTCCTCTTCCTTTTCGTCCTTCTTTTCCTCTTCGTCACTGCTGATCACTGCATTTTCCCAATCATCTTCTTCAGCTATATAAAGTACATGTTAGTCGTCCACATGAGCCATCTTTACTGCACACTGATCACACATACATTCTTGAGCTTCAGCAGCCTTCTTGGCCTCTTCCTCCTCCTTGCGCTTCTTTTCCTCTTCTTCCAAACGCTTTCTTTCAGCAGCTTCTTGCTTCTTCTTTTCTTGCTCCTCCTTGGTAGGGCCCTTCTTCTTCTTGTTGCCATAAACAACCTTCTTGGGCTTGTTACCATCATCTTCAAGGGCTTGGACACGGACATTTCCAGAAGCGAGCAACTGTTCATGACGCAACTTGGCTAAACGTTGGGCCTCCTTTTGAGCCTTGGTGAGTAATTTACCTTCCTTACGAAGCTGTTCCTTCTTGAGCTGTAAAACAAGGCAAATAGGTTAGTCATTTTGACCACTGAGAAAATTATCCAACAAATCACTTACTCTCTCTCTTTCTCTCTTGGCGGCACGAGCTTCCTCACGTTGAGCCTCCTCTGCAGCAAGCCTCTTTTCCTCTTCTTCGGCCTTTCTTTGCTCTTCCTCGATACGCTTACGTTCGGCTTCCTCAGCAGCTCTTTGAGCTTCCACCAATTTCTAAGTGGTTTCACATTAACATTCATGCATTACTATATAATACGCAGTATGCAAACTTACTCTCAAAGCAGCGACGTTGCCACCCTTACCCTTTTTGCCCTTGGGAGCAGCAACGGGAGCAGGCTCTTCAACAGCAGGAGCAGCTTCAGGTTCTGCTTCTTTAGCAGCTAACTTCTTTGCCTTCTTTTCCTTGAGCAATTGCTTCTTGGATTTTTGTTGGGGTTGCGCAGCATCGCCACCTTCCTCTTGTTCCTTCTTGTCATCTAGACCGAGAGCTTTGTTGAATTCAGCATCTTCAGCTTCTTGTTGCTTCTTCTTTTCGATGGCAGCCAAACGCTTTTGTTCCTTAAGCTTCTCCTTCTTAAGCTTTTCCTTCTCCTTCTTGGTCAAGATACGGAATTCGCCTTCTTCTTGTTGCTCGGGAGCAGGAGAAGCAGGTTCAGCGGGAGATTCAGTGTTGCCACCCTTCTTATTCTTTTTGCCCTTCTTATTGTCACTGGCCCAATCAAGGTCATCTTCAGCATTCTCGGCAACAGCAGGCTCTTGAATGCCAACAGCAGCGGGCTCGGTTTGCTCTTCAATGGCATCTTGAGCATATGGATCTTCATCGAAATCAGCCATTTGCTTCTTTCCCTTCTTGCCCTTCTTGACCTTGTTCTTGGCGGCACGGTTGACCATGGCCATCAAGCTAGAAAATATGCGTGATTAATGGCATGTTTACAAGGCAAAATAATAGAGATAAAATTACCCATCTTCTTCCTCGTCGTCATTGTTCTCGGTAGCGAGAGCACTGAATGCGGAAGCTCTCTTTTCAAAATCTTCCTCAGTCTCTACGGGAGCGGCAGTAGCAGCGCCTGTAGCAGCGGCATCCTCCTCGAAGGCTTCATCCCTGCAACATTGGAGTCAATAAAACATGCGTACATGGTATTGGACATGTGGATGTGTTACCAGTAATCGTCCTTTCTTTTTCCTCCCTTCTTTTTGCCCATATTGAATATACAAAGAGTTGTGTAAAATAAATGTAGAAAGAAAAAGTGCACAAGTAGTTGTTTTGGACACCCCTCATATGCTAGCAGGAAAGTGCAATTGATGTCGAAAAAAAATCTCGATAGATCCAAGCCACAAGTGACGTTTTGGGCATGGACAAATGCACTCGAGCCAGATCAAAATCATGCAAAACTGATATTGTAGACATAGGTTTGCACTGTGGTATTCATCATGAGGTATTGCTGCTTAATGTGCAATAGAAATTGGAAGTTTGCTTGAAAAATCCATAGAGAGATTAGGAATGTACTGCGGATCATGTCATGCTTTTCCAAAGGCCCTTAAATCTTGATCTCCATGTTCATGTGATGCTATGTGATGTTTTCCATTGTTTGGTAAAGATTGATCATCAAATACTTATACATCCAGTGGCATAGACTCATATTTTATGGGTTTGTAACATTTTTTGTACCAATTATAGTGGTTTCAAACAGTTGTAATGTCAACAATGTCCCATATCAACTGAGTCGCTCATAGACGCTCACAACTTCTGTTGTTAAAATGGCGTCTTTGTTCACAGCCAACAGCAGTGAAAATCAGAGCATTTCTTCTGGAAGATTCGCATTTTTTATTAACCAAATGTCTGAACAACCTACTAATAACTTGACACCTGCTGAACGCGCAGCCAAAGAAGAGCAAGAGAAGCTTGAAAAGAAGAAGGAAGAAGAAGAGCAAGCCCAATTACCTTATAGGTAAGCGTTTCTATCTATATTTTCCATATGGATTGCTTATGTTGATTGTTTCAACAGCTGGAAGCAAACACTCCAAGATGTAGACATCTCTATTCCAGTACCCAAAGGCACTCGCGCTCGTGATTTGGAAATTTTATTGAAGAAATCTCAATTTAAAGTAGCTCTCAAGGGCCAAGCACCTATTGTTGAGGTACGGTTGCATATACGCGCTTGTATTCAATCTCTGACATGATCAACAGGGCGAGTTTAGTCACGCCATCAAGGTAGATGATAGTACATGGACAGTGGAAGATCAAAAAGAAGTATTGGTCCACTTGGAAAAAGTCAATCAAATGCAGTGGTGGGATAGTGTTGTCAAGGGAGCACCCAAAATCAATACACAAAAGATCCAACCTGAAAACTCTCAGTTGAGCGATTTAGATGGAGAGACCAGAGCCATGGTTGAAAAGATGATGGTAAGAGAAAGTTACATGAGGATCTGCGATTTTTTATTTTACTAACATGGTATTTTTTCTTTAGTTTGACCAACGTCAAAAGGCAATGAACAAGCCTGACAGTGATACTTTGAAGAAGGAGGAGATGTTTGCTAAATTTAAGCAGCAACATCCAGAGATGGATTTTAGCAATGCAAAGTTTGCAGAATAAATAATCTAACATATCGATACAGAGAAGGGGGTTGTATTACTGAGAAAAATACGGGTCCTCCTATTATGGTGTATAATTTCATTAGCTTTTATGTCAGTGGAATCATGCAAATGACTTACCAATAATTGTGGGGCAGATCCTCGCTTGCTAGGGTCTCTGCTCAGCAGGGTTTTAATTAATTGTCGAGTATGTGCATTGGGAATCAGTCTTTCAAGTTGAGGGATCTCTAATTCCTTATTTTCGTTCCAGCGAAGACCGTTGTTGAGAATAGGTGTTGACGGTGAAGGATGAGATACGAAATGAAGTATGGTTTCGTCCTTGATATTGCTAGCAAACAATGCCTTTTTGGTTTCCAGTTCCTATCGTGTCAAATCCATGAGTATTTACAACATCAACTTGAAACAGCACATCTTATCCTTACATAAATGACGCAGCCTAATGACCATAAATCAACACTAGCCGTAGCTACAACACCATTCGCGCCTTCTAAACCATAGGTAGTGGCACGAGCGACCTCAGGTGGACAATACCTAGGAGTAATGACACCAACGCATTCTTCGTCGATAGTGCGACTTGCCTCGAAATCGATTAGTTTCCAAGGCTGGTCATAATGATGCATGATGTTGCTAGGTTTCAAATCACAGAATGCAATACCGTTGCTATGACACCAGGACAAGCAACGCAGAATGTCTCTAGCAATGCTGCCATTAGTTGCAATACTGGTAGGCTTCTTGCTGTTGTGTCTGATATAACTACTGAGCGTTTCGTCCAAACGTTCCATGACAGTGACATATTGAATACCGCCTTCATCTTCTTCTGGATGGTTTTCTTGGTCCATGTGTGATGGCTCGCCTTGTATGGTCAGCACTTCCAATATCTCTACAACACAGAGTGATTTCAGTTTGATCAAGTTGCGGCATTCTCTCTCCCAAGCTTCTCGTCTGCCAAATGATTTGACAGCGACGACAGCCTTGTCTTCTTTGGTAACAAAGAGAATGTTGTTGGTAGGGCCTGTGATGGGTGATTTTGTCTTGTCAAGTTGATATCGACGAGGCAATGCAGAAATGAGTGGTGCTAATGGCAAGAATTTTTGATCGTTTGGCTGTGATGTGGATGAAGAGGCGGTTGTCGATGAGGAGGCGGGCGTTGTGGAAGAAGAAGCAGTGACGGTATTGGTTACATCGGCAGTGATGATGCCTTTACCCGATGTATCACGAATCGATTTGACCATGGCAGAATTGTGTGTACTACTGCTTGGCGTATCATTATTGAATTGGTGCAATTGCTGTTGTTGCTGTTGTTGTTGCTGACCCAAAGAAGCGAGTGCATCCAATGGACTGATAGAATTGTAGATGTCTACTTGGTTGTTGGTGCTGGAACTGGCAACATTGCTGCTGCTGCTATTGTTTGTGGATGTCGGTGGTGTTACCGTCTGTGCCATAGGCATGTTTAATGTGGAAGAAGGGTATTGCAAGCTGTTGTTGGTGTGATGATGATGTACAAGCGATTGTCTCTGTTGAGCGTCTTTTGTGTCCCATGTTTGCGTGGATGTCGCTGTGCTCAGTTGGTGAGAGTTGGGCAGAATATACTGAATTGGAGGCGCATTGTCTCCTGTGTTGTTGTAGGGATTTACAGAGAGCGAGTCTGCAAATGTCCAGTTATCTTCGTCCTCCTCATTCGCTGTAGCATGTGTCACAGGCACTCCACCGCCTCTCTTTCTGAATGCTGCTCCTGACTGACTGTTTCCAGTGTGATTCATCATGCTGCTGGCATTCGTCTTGATGCTCCTCAATACGTCCAATGAAGAGCTATTGGGGCCTTCTTCAGCAGAGGAAATCAAGTGTTGCACAGGCTGCTGCTTCCTTGGAACAGGCACAGAGAATTCATTGGGCTTTTGTGAGATGATTTCATTTGGCACTTGACCTTGTCCACTGTACTCTGTGGTTGGTGAAACCAGCAAAACCTTGGAATTTCGGAACGATTCGCGGGGACTTTTGGAACCATGAGTAGCAGCGACTGTTCCATCATCATTGTAAGCTTCCAGCATGCCGGTATAAACTCTGCCGGAATCACCAATCTCTGATCGTCTTTGCGAGTGATGTGTGCTCATTGTGCCTGTCCATGCTTTTGACATGCGCTTGTTACTGACTGCAAATGCTTCATCGTTGTCATCGTCATCGCTGTCGTTTGTCGAGTAGAATCCACCGGGATTGTACGAGTACGGGTTGTCCTTGTGATGGTGTGTGGGTGTGCTGATATTTTCTGACACTTCGTCTTTGATGTCTCGCTCGTTTCTTTGTCGTCTTTTCTTTCTAATAAAGAACAATGCAGCCGCTATAATTAACAGCAGACCTAGAACGCCGCCCACAGCAGCACCTGCAATCGTGCCTGCGTTTGATTTGTTTGGGGTGGATGGCTCATTGTTGTTGCTAGGGCTCGTTGTGTTGGTTGATGGGATGGCATTTGGTGGATATCCAGTGGTGGCTACGCGAGTCCAGCTCCATTGATTCAAATCCAAGACATAGACATTGGAGTCGTTGGTGGCACTGACACCCCAACCGCCAAACATGTATAGTTTCTTGTTTGCTTCGTCCAACACGGATGAATGCCCTATATCAGATAGATCAGCACACATCACAACAAACAAATAAAACGCTTACCCATGCGCAAATTTGGTCCTTGGCTTTGATTTGCTATGGTCATCTTTTGCCATGTGAGTGTTGGGTACAGTGTTGCATTCAGAATCCACACATCGGTGTCTGCTGGCTGGCTTGTTCCACCACCGTAGATCACCATATAATCATCAAGACAATTGGCAGTGTGAAGTCTCCTGGCTCCTGGAACAGATGAACCGACAGCAGTCTGAATACCTTGCACATTCCACACTCGCTTCTCCAAGTCGTACATGTTGACAGCCTAATTATGGAAATAAGTATATTTATAACCCTTCTCTTTGTATGTACAGTATCATACATCAGTTACATCGGTCGGGTTACCAGTTGAGGTTCCACCAAATGTAACCAAGCAATTACATGCTTTCATAAAGCAAGTGGTGTGATCAGTTAAGCCCAATCCATTTGAACCCGTTGTCCACTGAAAGCTATTCACGTCCATCAGAGACAATGAATTCTGCACTGAGCTCGACATGGCGAATCCATTGGCGTCCACTGCTAATCCTCCATAGGTGTATATTGTATTGTTAATCGTCAGCATTGTATATCCAACTGTTCTAGCAGATGCTTGAAAATCTGAAACCTCCCCAATTGTTATATAAAATATGAAGAAATAAGCAGGGAGGGATTAATTAGTACAAAGTATGTGTAACAGGATTAAAGTTCTATATCCTCTGCTTACTTGATGTTGGAAAACTCCATGACCAACTATTTATATCCAACTTTTGCAGTACACCCGTAGCTGAACCGCCTGTTGTGTTGCTGACAAGTGCTACTACTTGACCTTGACTAGGTAAGGTCGTCGCCTTGAAGTAGATCTGTGGTAGCATGGCAACTCCGCCTTGTACCTGAATCGTTGGTTTATACCATGAACCGTTTCTGCTGTCCCAAACCCACACATCGTTTGAGCCTATTGTTGAGGATGAATTTGATATGTCTTGTGAGCCGCCATACATGATAACATATGGGCTCGAATAGACTGTATATAGAGCTGGTTAGTTGTTGCATTCACCATCATTGCTTTGCCTATATCGTACCTGAGGCATGTCCTGCTCTCCACGGCACATTTGTTTGAATTGAACCAAGCCCAATCTCTTGAGCAAAACTGGCTCTTATTGTACAATAACAGAGTGATATGACTAATAAAAACCTAGACATTTGCTCTATATTTTTATTAATTAAATATGTATAGTTGTATATATAAGAAAAGGGGATGCAAAAAAAAAAGAGTGAGAGATAGAGAAAAGAAAGAGGGAAAAGCGAGGAGGCTGATTGTATTTTTTTTTATGCTGCCTTTTGTTGTTGATATAGGTTAGGCGCCTTGTTTCTTATCCCGGCGCGCTTTTTTCGTTGCTCTAATTCTGCTTGTCATTTTGTCCATGTATTGCTGATGTTGTTCAGGGTTTGCCTTTATCCAATCCTCTCGTTCTTGTTTGGCTTTTGCCTTGTAGCCCTCTCTTGCATCGTCATCTAGCTCTTTCCAATGCTTACTCACAATAGCACTGAGGTCTCTGATTGTCTTTATTTGCGGATATTCTGCTTTCACCTCTGGTAGTTTGATCTTTGAGTATAGAATGTACCCATTGCCACTAGGTCTTGAGGGTTTTTGTCGGGCTACGCTGCTTATATGTACCTTTTCATCGTTCAGTTTTTGCTTGAATTTGTCCTTCTCTGTCTATTGGCTAATTAGTATATGAATGCCTTTCTTTGGATGGACTCATTTGTACCTTTGGCATTGCTTTCCATGCGTCAGCTACCAATCGACTGAGTTGCTTTTGAGGCTCGCCACTGGAGTCGATAGCTTTCTTGTGCTCTTTCGCTAGCTTGCCTCGCATCACCTTGTTGAACTGCGCAAACGTACTATACTGCTTGAGTGGCATGGCTGTCTTGAAATTATTCCTGGCATATTCTCTTGTGGCATGTGAATCTTTGCTGCCCCTCTTGAATACCGTAATGATTTCTTCCTCCTCCTCATCGTCAGTATCGGATTCGCTTGTGCTAGTTTGTTTTCTGACTCGCCTTCTCTTTCGTACTTTGCTCTGTTGGCTTCCAGGTATATACTGGTAATCATTGACACCTCCTTCGTCAGATAAATCAGAAAATTCCAATTCATCATTTTCGGGTGCATCTTCTGTTCGTGGTTTGGCGTTGGGTAAAATATCATCACTAAAGATGCTGGGCAGTTTTGTGCTCACTTTTGGAGTTGTCTTGGAATTTCGTTTGGTGGTTTTGCGCTTTGATTTGGTGGGGTTCTTTTCTTTTAACTTTGATTTTGATTTTGAGGTCGATCTAGCTGTTGATTTGACATGAGTGTCAGAATCTTCTGGGTCACTAAATACATTGAGTCTATCTGATTCTTTTGATTTTGCGTCTACGTCGTCATCTGATTCTTCCGATGGCTCAAATACGTCGTCTCTTGGTGGTAGTAAAATGAATTCATCCTCGTCGTCCTTGTCATCATCGGTTGCATCGTTTTGATCGTCTTCGTCTTTGTCTGATTCCTCTGGCTTTTCGTCAACTTCTTCATCTGATCCCTGGGATGGCAAGAATTCATCGTCTGTTTGTGGCAGAGAAGATAAGCTCTCGCCTTGGTCTTCCAGATAAGCATTTTCGCAATTCACGCAGAAACTAGTTGTATAGTGATATAATTAGACATATTTAAAATGTAATATGTAGCATGGACTTACATAATGTCATCCCCTTGCGGTAATTGTCCTCTACTTTGTCGACAATGCGGGCATCTGAGGGAGTTGGTCTTATTATTCGACATAAATGGATGAAAGAAAAAGATAGAAATATATTGTCCACGCGCTTTCTGGTGGCAAAAATGTTGTCTCTCGATTAGGAATAATTGGGAGTAGCAATGCGGATTCGGTAGATCATTTCTGTCAAAGCCCTACTTTAAGAAGTTGACCATTTGCTCGCGAAGATGGAAAACAAGTGAGTTATACTAAGAGCTGCTATCATAAACAATGAGATACACACTCCTGCACAAGCAGTTAAAGATGCCCAAAGTTGTAAATTACCATCAAAAGCTATGGTTTCGGTGCTGTCTATTGTCGTTTTATAGGCTGTAGTGGCAGCATTAGATAGTGATTACAGGCATTGGCCAAGAATATTGTAGAGTTATTTTGTATATAATAATACATTGGCGCGCTTGAAGTGCCAGATGCCTTTTTGCATAGCAGGACAATTACACAGTTCGCATTTGGATGAGCTATTTGCAAGGATTAAATCTATGTATAAGATATAAAATTAGGCAAAAACCCCATTATTCTGCATTCAGACAAAGTTCTAGTTTCTGTAAGTTTATGATCCTTTCCCTATCAGTATCACAACATCGACTGTCATCATCAGAAAGGTATTTGATCAGCAACCATCAGTAGCCGAAAAAATAATTTATACTCCGACAAAAGCATTTTCCAAGATTGGCCAAATTCTGAATATAATCGACTTGAATGAACTATTTTGCAAGATTTGACTATACGAGTTGTTAAGATCACATCCCACTTCCTAATACATTCTTGGAATACTTTTTGAGATGCATCCAGTAGTGCTATTTAAACAAGGAGTTTTGAATAAACTTATTGAGCAAACTTTGAAAATATGAAATGAGGTTTTTGGCAAAAATGCAAGAAAATTACATCTAAAAGTCTCATAAATGTAGTTTCAGGAGTTGCTCCGGATCGAGAGAAACATTTTGATTTAATATATAATATATCCTCCTTAATGGTCCAACGGCTAGGATTTATCGCTTTCATTTTGATTTAATTTATGCTATAGTAAAAGTCTTCATTTTCAAGGTGAAAAATGCGATCGTTGATTTTCTATGAAAACCACGAGGTTACCCCCCATGCTTTTTGGTCGATTTTTGACGATGTTTTTTTTGATCCACAGAAAGTTGAGCAAACATGTCAGGAAGTAAGTGTAATGTAAAAGCAGCTGTATGGTGCTATTCTGGCGGTCTGGGACAGCTTATAGTACGAGAAATCAAGGCTTAAATGCACCCAAATATTGCTGTGTTTTGCATATATTTGAGTATCAAGAGGTGTTGCAGCTATGCTATTGGCCCTTATATGGAATGCTTCCATTGATACAGACGAGAAGCGTTTCGGAAGAGTCTGATCCACAGTTACAGATTGTTTAGAAGGTTTATACAAGATAGCAAAATGTTATTAAAAAGGAAGGTTCTTGTATAAATGACCTAGATGTTCCATTGCCAATCAATTGACATTGCCATGGCTCTGAAAGAGATTTTGCAAACTACCCATGAGCGTGGTTTGATACATTAAAATCGTCATAGATCTTCTATATAGGTAAGCATTATCATGACACAGTGATTGTGTCAATTTCACCAGGTACTGTTTGTAATGCGGAGGAAAGAATACGAATTGCTTGATATATAGGATACATCTTTGACGGACTTGTCGCAACTTTTGATGATATCATATTTGTTTCATCATAATATGTGCATGAGCATGAAATCACTCTAAAAACACTGTGCTGCGTGTGTCACCACAGTGTTCTACCAAAATAGGGTTTTATAAATTTGGTATAAATAATAAAATGTCTAGTTGTTTTTTAAAATCCTTTCTTTCTTCTTTTTCATACATTTACTAAACACACGGCCATGTTTTTTGAAGCCACCTATGTCCCATCACCGCCTTTATCAATAGCAAGTGACGAAGGTATGTGTTTGTCTGGGCATTGGAGAGCACCATGTCAACTAACGCAAACACAAGATGACTTGATAGATAATACCAACACTACGACAGACAGTCAATCAGCAGACAGTGTAAATACAAGCGAACCCAGTTCGGATAAGCCAGTTGACCATTTGATCTTTGTTATCCATGTGAGTGTGCTTGATCAAACGTATACTGTCTGTTACTCATCAAAACTTGTGATTAGGGTATTGGACAGGTAAATATAGAATACGATTGAAAGTCAGTGTTGATAGAAGAGGATGATGGTTAACATGTGAATATTTGCAAAATGATAGCAAACAGAACAATATGGGCATTTCTACGAGCACAGTAAGTGTGAAGCATGGTATGGTAGGCTATGATGTAATAACAGTTGGCGATTTGTGTAGTCGAGAATTTGCAAGAGACGACAAGACAAGTGTTGCAGGCAAAAGTGCCTGATCACAATGTTCGCATAGAACTGATACCCATTGAATGGCATAGACACATCCATGAGCAAGTGGATCCCATCATCAACAAAATTACACTCAAATCGATACCCACCATCCGTCTGATCGAGAATGATTATCTGGCAGATGTCTTGTTTTACTTTTCCAAGGACAGAGGACAAAAGATCATTGACAATGTCACGAATCTATTCAACACATCCTACCACAATTTTATGGAGAAACACCCAAATTTCACCGGCAAGATTGTAATTATGGGCTATTCGCTGGGTGGCATCATTGTCTGGGATATCCTGTCGCATCAACGGGAGCCTAAAGACCATGAAACAGCCATGTACGATAAAATGGACATCAAATTCACCAAACTGGATTTCAAGCCAAACTACTTTTTCGGTCTGGGATCTCCTGTGGGTGCTGTGCTGACCTTCAGAGGTCAAGATCCAAAAGTGTATCATCCAGATTTCGACATTCAGTTTGAGAACGTATTTCACCCTTTTGATCCTTTGGGCTATCGATTTGAACCGCTATTCAACGATTATTTCACAGACAAACCAGCAGTATTGGTGCAGAGATCTGTTCCTATCGGCCCTTCGTTCTCTTTCCCATCCATGCCATCGTTTCCGCTATCTGCTGGGTTTCTGTCGTTTTTCAGTTGGAAGCAAGAAGACAAGGCAGCGAAGACAATTTACAATGCCACAGCGGAAGCAGCTGATGCCAACGAGGACATCATCAAGGAGGAGAATGCGCAAGTCAAACAACAGGACGAGCAGGCTTCTACATCATTCGGTTTCATGTCTTCATTTCTTCAATACTTCTCAAGGGGCGGTGGCACTGAAAAGCTGAATGGTACGGAAAACAAACAAGATGCGTCTAAAAATGGCATCATCACCTGGGATCCTCTCAAAGAGCAGACAAGAGAGCAGCTATTGGCATTGCGTGATGATTTGGACAGAACACTAAATGGATTCAATGCATCATCGTTGGGATTACCAAGAAGGCCTGCCATGAATATTAGATCAAAGACGATTGGATCATCCACACCGCAGGAAGACAGTTTATACTCATGCTCTTTGGAGCAAAATTCAGATGGTTCTGTATTTGATAAAGCATCTGGTGGAGAAGCAGCAATACCGCCGTCCATCAGCAAAAGCAGGAGTAGCTTCAGCATAGAAAACAAGAAACCAGAAAGAATAGCGTTGCGTAAGACCTTGACAGAACACAACCCTAAACGTCAACATTTGGTAGAAGTGCTTGGCATTGATGGCGTCCGCGTTGATTCGTTTGAGCGAGCAAGAGTTAATTTTGATAAGCATGTGCAGCATGACCAAACACAATCAGCAGAAAGTAACGGCAATAAGCATTTGCAGTCATCTACATCAACCACGACTGATAAGAAAAAAGAAGAAGAAAAGACAGGCGACAGCAAGAGCAATGATCTGTGGTCAGATTTGAATCAGGAGATGAATAAGCCGGGCCCAGCCATCACAAGCCCAGGCGAGTCTCGGGCAGAGATAGCCCAAGATGCAACTGTACCAGCCTCATCTACAGATAAGAATGAACCAGAGGAGGATCAAGAAGCTGACAAGGCCCTGAAAGAAGAGCAAGAGTCCATCAATACCCTGCCTGGAAAGAAGCGAATGGATTATGTGTTACAGCCCGATAGTGTTATGTCGATGATTGCCAACGAATATCTTATTGGATTGCGTGCTCATTTCTCGTATTGGACCAACAAGGATTTCATCTGGCACATGTTGCGCCGTATCGAGGATCTGGATAGCAGCGATGCAGCATCCTCCTCTTCGTCGACAACCACCGCCCATAACAAGAAAAAGAAGGAGCAGCAGCTAGATGCTGGTAGAAAGCTGTATCATGCTGAAGCAAGTAGCAGTGGAGGAGCAACAAACAACAAGTCGACAACATCCATTGTTAGCATTGACGATAGTAATATTCCAAAGAAGAAGAAATAAACAGAAATTCTGAATACCATGTCATAACATTGGATCTTTTGGCAATCAGCAAGCTTCTAGCATTATCCCGTAGCCTAATGGATGCAGGCAAACACAGTGTAATGGTACTTATTATGATAGAATGAGGGTTTTGTGTACCCTGATCTGCATCAAAAGGGCCGCTGCATCTCAACTTTGATGATTAAAAATCTACCTCACCGGGGTAAAAGTTGTCCATTCTCTCTTGTTTCTCATCTGCTTGTTTTTTTTTTTCAATTGAAAATGACTACAACTATTCGCATTGGTTATGGTAAATGGGCTACTCAACATACTGAAATGACACGACCCCTAAGCAAACTTTACGCTATCCAGTTCCTGAACATTTCTCCACACCTTTGTACATTGCCCGCGATCTTGATTATTTCAAGGATACCGGTGTAAATGTTGAGCTTGTCTTGTGTCCAGGTACAGTCATTGTTTACTTGCTATTGTAAAGAGAAGCTAACAAAAGCGTCCTAGGCGGTACTGGTGAGGTACGTCACTTTCTTTTGGCATAGAGACAAATGTCGTATTGATATTATCCCTAAATAGATGACATCCAAGCTTCAAGATAAATCACTTGATTTGGCAATCGCATTGACGGAAGGCTTGGTCGCTGGTATCAGCAAGGGCCAAGACTGGTATAAAATTGTGGGTACCTACGTGGATGCTCCTTTATGTAATACAGTTGATCAATTACGGTATGCCAACACATTGCTAATGACATGCAATATTTAGGCTGGGCTTTATCTGCTGGCAAGAACTCCAAGCACGATTCAATCGACACACTTCACAAAACCAATGTGGCTATCTCTCGTTATGGATCAGGCTCTCACATTATGGCTTTTGTGCTTGCTGATCAACGTGAATGGCTCAAGAAGGATGAAAAGCCTTTTGATTTCACTGTCTTGAACAATTTCAAAGCAATGCGTGATGCTGTAAACGATGGCAGTTGCGATTACTTTATGTGGGAAACATTCACCACCAAGCCTTATCATGATTCTGGGGAAGTCAAGCGTATTGGACAAATTACCCCCCCTTGGCCTGCATTCATGTTTGCAGCCCATACTGATTTATTGAATGCCGATAAGGATGGATTAAAGAAGGTCTTGGCTGCTATTCAACGTGCCACTCATTTGTTCATGGAGCAAAAGGAGGATGAATCAGTGAAGCATGTTATGCGTATCTTGGAGTATCCTGAAGAGGATGTTCGCCGTTGGTTCAAGACCGTCCACTATGCTAGCAATCATCAACAAGTCTCTCGCAAAGCACTTGATGTTACTTTGAGCACTTTATTGAAGGCTGATGTCGTAAACGAGCCTACCAAGCAGATTGAAGAATTGGTTGATCTCCAAGTTGCAGAATTGACTGAATAAAGAACACATAGCTATTGTTTATTGATTGATTCAAAAATATCGAGTCATTTGAACGTCGGTTTTCTTCAACAAGCACTTTTCGTAAAATGGAATGTTCTTTTCGTTGCAATCGAGAATGGTTTTATAGCATTTGACTGTCTGAGCAATGCAGTGTAACTGATCTATTAATCTAATATAGCAAAATCGTTATATGTCATGTTATTGCATCAATCATAATAAATCAAACCTTATGCCGAGCTTCTTTCCCCTTTGTGAGTCATGAACCACAACGTCTTCAATATGTCCAACTATCCCACATTCTCTTAGGAATTTATATTCTACCAACAAGGTTGCGCTGGCCACAATTCTGTTATCCTCTTCTATGACTACGACATAGGTCGATCCTTGTTCTTTAAGAAGATCGAAACGAGCTAATGATTTGAAGAGTCAGCTACGAGAACATATATATGATTAACAGACATCTACCTTTGAACGACTCCTGTGTGATTGAACCAGCCACAGACAGTTGAGACAGCAGTTCAATAAAACCTCTCTCATCATCATCTCTTCTCAACGGTCTAATAAGATGACTGGAAGGAAGTGCAGACTGAATCTCTTTTGAGATATATACATTTCTATCAAACAAAGTATTTTGGTCTCTTTCGTCAACAGTCATTATGAGATTGCTATTCAAATCAAAGAAAGAAAAGGGCTAGAATCAGCTATCATTGCATTTAATGGAGTAAATTAATTTGTGTTTGTTTATCCATCGTCTACTTTTAAATGTGTATATAATTACATCGATCAATAAATCAAAGTTTAGGCTAATGCCTATCAACTAATTTCCTCTCCTATTTCAATGAAATCATGCGAATGTTGATGCAATTTTCATTTCATCTACACTATTAACCGCCAATAAAGGATTCTTTACTAGAAAAAATCTCTTTCTCTGTAATAAAATGCCTTATTGTGAACTAAAAACGAGGAAAAAACAAAAAGGGAGGCATCCCTCTGTACACTTTCAAGAATAAAGATATTATCAAATAGGCACAAGGATTTTGTCAAAAGGCAACAAAAATATTTTTAAAAAAAAATAAAAAAAATACCCAGTAGGGGGGTCGAACCCCTAATCTTCCGTTTAGAAGACGGATGCCTTATCCAATTGGGCCAACCGGGCTTTCTATGTGAAGAATTTTCTTAAATAATATATATAAAAAATACAAGTCTTTTGAGCCGCCTGGTCATCCTTTAGCCTTTAGTTGAATCCAGTCCTCTCAAAACACTCTATCTAAAGCGGATCACAGTACTTGTTAGAATAGAGAAACAGAAAAATCTGGGGTATTCAATTGTAGGCAAAATGCATTGTTTCTTGTAATATTCTGAAGTATTTTGAAAATTACAACATGTGTAATGAAATAGTCACCCAAACGCAACTTGATTGAAAACCAAAATTCATCAAATAGCACTCATCATGCTGTTTGAATCTATTAATAAAGCGCCCAAATGTACATCAACAACCACTTAAACATACTAAAGATGCACGCTTATCTCGCAAATCGTGTGAATGAATCACTCCTCCTGATCACAGTGTATTCAATCACACTCGTGATGGTCGTAATAAGTGTTGTTATCTTTATCCAAATAAAGTCAAATCAATAGCAAGCACATTCAAATATGACAACTATGATCTGATGCCATAGTTGCAAAATAGCCCAGAAAAAGGGTTCTACACTTCGATAACAAACGTCACACCTTAAACTGTCAAGGCTACATTAAAGCATACTCTGCAGATAGCTCTGCAGTGAAATCAGGTTTAAATAGATTTCACAAAAAAAAATAAAGCAAAGGTAAAATACAATAGAAATCAACTGTATTTTATTTTGTGTATAAAATGAACTGAAGATCCTGGAATTGAGTAAAAAAAAGAAGAGTATTTATACATTTGCATCTGGCTTGTAGGATTAGTGATGATAGAGAGCAATAGGTGCTGCTATTGCGATATCTGGCAAATGTTGTTGATGTTTGATTTAAAGTGGTAATCAATGCAGGAGCACTGGCCATAAGGGTCGATTTGAGTAACCTTGATGGGCTTGGGTGAGCTATCGTCATAGCATGATTTAATGTAACCTTGATGGTTTAAAGTGTGATGTTTGTTATTGAAGCATGGAATCCTTTATCTGGGATATTGTGCAACTATGGCAGCAGGGCATAGTTGTCATATTTGAATATGCTTGTTATTGATTTAATTCTATTTGGATAAAGATACCATCACCTATTACGACCATCATGGGTGTGATTGAATACACTGTGATCAAGAGTGATTCATTCACACGATGTGCGATATAAGCGTGTATCTTTACTTTAGTATTTTTAAATGGGTTTTTGATGTACATTTGAGCGCTTTCATTAATAGATCCAAATAGCATGAATTTGAATGAGTGCTATTTGATGAACTTTGGTTTTCAATTAAGTTGCGTTTGGGTGGCTATTTCATTACAAGCTCATCCAAGCCCACCAAAATTTTCAAATCGGCCCTTATGACGAGTGCTCTTGCGTCGATTACCAGTTTGAATCACACATCAACAACATTTGCCATATATCGCAATAGCAGCACCTATTGCTTTCTATCATCATTAACCCTACAAGCCAGTCGCAAATGCACAATGACCCACAAAACTGTCCCAATGTTTAGCAGTTTTAACTTTCAGATCTTACCGCCGGACAAGAAGTTATCATCCAATAACAATAAATTTAGTATTTTCTGAGAGCTAAACCTGCTTTCTTTATATCGTTTAATTTGTACAAGTATATAGCTGTAGGAGCACAAGCTGTGATTGGCCAATGTCATTAGGTACATTGGGACAGTATTGTGAGATGTTTGGAAAAATCAAGTTTTATTATTTTATAGGACCTTAATACTTTGTCCATTTTCCTTTAGCTTTGATAACGGCCTTAATACGTCGAGGCATGCTTTCTATAACCTTTTGGCACTCCTCCGGCTTCATCTGGTCATACCAAATATCAGTTACTCGCTCATAAAGTTCATTCATACCCTTGGTTGCGGTTTCATACTCATTAAGACATCTTTTCAAAAAAACCCACATGTTTTCGATAGGATTCAAGTCTGGAGATTGTGAGGGCCACTCCATGACCTGGTATGGTTGTTCCTAAAGGTAATCCTTGACCAAATTTGAGGTGTGTTTGGGATTATTGTCTTGCTGGAATATCACTTGTTCACGGTGGAAGCCCAATTTCTCGATGGAAAAAGTGATAGTCTGCTCCAATTCGTATAGAAAAATTTTCTTTTAGAGTGCCTTATCCATATTACCATTTATCTTGCACATCCTTTCAATACCAGCATACATAATGGCACTTCAAAGCATGATACTACCACCATGGTGTTTTACAGTGAGCTTGACATGGTGGTTTTGAAGCCGTTCACCAGATTGGATCCAGGCCCACTCTCGCCCATCTGAGTTGAAACGGTTAATTTTGGTCTCGTCTGTGCAAATAACACGTTTCCAGTCGTCAACAGTCCAGTCTTTGTGCTGCTTACACCACGCAAGTCTCTTCTTGACGTTAGCGTCACTAGGCAAAAAAGGCTTCTTTTCCTTCTTGATAGCCCCTAAGCCCGCAGTGCGGAGTGCTCTACGAACGGTTTCCGGATAAATCTTCATTTGGAAATCTTTCTCCAACATTTTTGTGACCCTGGCGGCGCTTGAAACCCGCTCTTTGGTTACTTTTTGAACACAATAACGCTTGCCGGCTTCAGACAACACCCTAGGACGACCACATTTCGAGGTTTCCAGACCCGGACAATGCTCCATTCTAATTTGCCCAATAGTAGACTTACCCAAAGACAGTTTTCAGCAAATTCCAGAATCGAAACACCGCTTCAAAGCATTGTGATTGCAGAATTAACCTTGGAGACCGCAATGGCTTTCATGGCTTCATAATCGACCTACCTGATATTTAGAACTCCGAGTTAGATAATGGAGACTGCTTGCGCTGCATGAGGCTTTCTTATACGACGCTCTCGAGGTTATTCCAAGTTGTGGGTTTCAGTTATCACCGAATTTGTGATTTTTCAAAAGATCTCACAATACTGTCCCAATGTACCTAATGACATTGGCCAATCACAGCTTGTGCTCCTACAGCTATATACTTGTACAAATTAAACGATATAAAGAAAGCAGGTTTAGCTCTCAGAAAATACTAAATTTATTGTTATTGGATGATAACTTCTTGTCCGGCGGTAAGATCTGAAAGTTAAAACTGCTAAACATTGGGACAGTTTTGTGGGTCACGATATAAATACTCTTCTTTTTTTACTCACTTCCAGGATCTTCAGTTCATCTTATATAAAAAATAAAATACAGTTGATTTCCATTCTATTTTACTATTGCTTTATTCTTTTTGTGAAATTTATTAAACCCGATTTCACTGCAGTCCTGGGATAAAGTCGTTAAAGTTAACAAATGGCTTGAAATACAGTAGTCGCGGTATTTGAGGCCGGTTTTTCGGCGAGGTTTTTCTAGCCTTATTTCCAGCATAGCATTAAATAACAAGCATGACTGTTATAAAAAGCAAGTCACATGGGCGGAACTCACTAAAAAGGAAAATCACATATATTAATTTGACACCTCTCCAACAAACTTCTTTTATTTGTTTCTTAAGGATAGAGGAGGAGAAAATGGACAACAACAACCATGTTGATATCACAGAGATGGGAGAGAAATTGAAAAGCGCTTGTGAAAATATTCTGTATCGCACGATCCTAATGGACGAACAAGATGAACCCATTTTATGAAGACTTCGTAAAAACCTGGATAATATCAGATCGAAGAAAGTAGCCTATAGAAAAGCAAACAGACCTTCGTGTATATTTACAACATGTTTAGATTTAATCTTCAATAAAAGCTCTTCGTTAGTAGATATCTTATTGGCTATAAATTCAGTTGCAGCTATCATCACTTGATGAATTCGTAATAATAAGTCGATGATAATAATCAGTTGTCAACTGTATCTAAAACGAAAGCAAAGAGCTTCTTTATTACAGGGCATCTAGCTTGCTTAAATATGGTAGATCCCTGGTCAATGACTACTACGTTGAGATGGTATATAAATAGCAGGCCACTGGGGCCTTATGGATTGTTGGTATAGCTTGTTGAGAGGCCACCTAAGTCGATATGTTTCATGTAGTGTAGGTGGATCTCGATATCTTGACATTGGGGAGATTGAGTGTATTGTAGTTCCTGAGGCACCTGTGCACACACAATTGACTGGACTTGTAAACATAGATGTGATGTGACACGATAAACATCATCCATGCTGCTACACTGTAAAAGGTGGCTTGAGGAGAAAGTGAATGTAGCCTAAGATGCATGCTTGTATGCAACATCACTGTAAAGTAAGGCTACTAAGATTCGAAGAATTTTAGCCTTATAAAATTAGGCTGATAAGGCTAAATAGCTCGTAAAGAAATTTTTTTCGAAAATCTGCAGCCTTATTTCCCGCATAGTCTTATATAGGACGGCTTTAAATACCGCGACTGATATAGCTGTTCCCCTTTTGTCGTAAAATACGCAACATTGATTTGATGCTTTGGCACTCTACAGCAGAATAAGGTGTGATTAAGAGGTCTTGATAATAGTGCTTTATAGCACCTTGTTGTTTATGGGTCGTCTATTATTATCTATCAGTATTTGATTATGTTTAAAACGAGTATGAAAGTAATCAGGTAAATAATATCGTTATTAAAATAGTGCAAAATCTGAGGAATGATAAAATACTATTAGGGCTGCGAAAGTCATTTGAGAGTGAGGTACAAGATGGTATGATTTAGGTGATGATAGGAATAGTCGTAGTCATAGCAAATCCAAACTATTATTATTATTATCCTGAACATGCCATCGTTGATCGGTCAAAGCAAGGAATCACAGCATTTCCTACTCTAGCTCAGCTGTCAAACAGTAACCCACCTAGTATAACAATGCAGTTTAGCAATCTATTGAGGATGTCCTATATGTCATCATCGTATCTATTCTCATCATGTACTTCATGTTTTATAGTCATCCATTCACACCACGATTTATCTTTATACCATTCATGATTTACAATCCTTATTTTCACTCATTTGATCTATCCCAACAGGTATACATATGGCCAAATGTTTCAATGAAATGGTACCTTTTAATTACAATTTAATTTTACTGACTACTCGATTCTGATAAATATACAATCAATACTATTGGGTCCGTAACTGAATCCAAATTTATGTCAAGGTTTATGACCTAATCTGATTTATGTTCGAGAAGTGAGAGTTGGTTCTTACTTTTGAGAAGTGACAGGCCAATCAGTATAGCAATATTATAACCTTAATCACCTATAGTCATTTGGAATGTTTACGTGGCCTCAGGAATAACCTATTTATCAAGTTTTTTAAATGGGGGTGTTTGTAGAAATATGTTAGCCAATAAAAATACTCGAAGTCTGCGACTGGACAATGTTGATCCTTGTGCACTTGGTCTCGATCAATTGCATGCTGTTTCATTGATTATTTTCAAGGCGGATGCTATTTGTACATCACCATGCCATTTGATACGCTGTTTTGTCAAGTTACTATCTAAAATATATATACTGGAAAACTATGAAAAAAAAATAGACAAGCCAATCATATCCTTTTAAAATTTAATAGTATTAAAAGCCAGAACAAACGAGGGCATAACCACCGGCGAAGCCGGCAATGGGGAGGGGGTTTGGGGGAGGGGGCTTAGCCCCTCCACCAAGAATATAAGGCACCAAAAAAAAAATTTGATACATTGCTTTTTGTTATTATACGTACGTAATAATATGCCTCCTACTATTCAAACAAGACACTGCACGACCTGTAGAGCTGCTCTTCCAGTAGACTATGCTTATCGGAAATGTGATTCATGTCGAGTAAGTAAAATAGCTTTTAACGCCTAATAAAACCCTGAGACGCAATGGTTTATTTTGTTTGTACTCAAATTCAGGAACGAGCGCGAAATTACGCCAGGCAAAGAAGATTGGCGAATCGAAGAACACCAAGAGCACCTGCAGCGTTTGTATCAGAACTTGGAAGAGTACAACGTTCAGATTTGGGCAGAATGGACAACCAATGTGATGGATGTGGAGCTTTGCATTGGGCCGCAGAGAGGGCTGTTCAACAGCGAGTAAACGACAACTGCTTTCATGCTTGCTGCAAAAAAGGTAGAGCTGTCTTGCCCCTTTTGCAAGAGCCTCCCGAGCCTTTAAATAGCTTGATCAACGGAAGCCATCCTCGATCCTCTCATTTTTTGCAGCACATGCGACAATACAACACTTTGTTCGCATTTACATCATTTGGCACCGATGCTACGCCTGAGCAGCTCCAAAGGGATAGAGAGAATGAGATGAGAGGCGGCATCACGCCGGTTCGTGTTCATGGGGAACTCTATCACTTGCAAGCACCACTAAATTTGAGCAATGTGCCAAAGTATAGCCAGCTGTACGTTTACGACCCAGAGTATGCCGCTGCGATTCGCTGTGCAGACCCCAGAAATCAAGGATTGGACGACACGATCATTGAGCAACTGAGTGAAATGATTGCTGATCCTGTAGTTTGTGGCAATCCATTTGTAAGCATCTACAAACATGCTCACGAAATCCTGAAAGAAGAAGAGGAGAGGCAAGCTCAAGATGGTGTTAGCGAGAATGCTCACATCAGGCTCAGTCCTCAGATGCAAATGGAATTGGTTGTTGGCCAGGACAGACGCACTCAAAATCTGCCAACTGTCAACGAGATTGCTGCCATCATTCCAAACGAGTGTTCTGACAGGAGTTTCAGAGATATTTTGATCACATATCGTAGCAATTCCTCGGCCAGGGCTCAAGGCCAGTTTAAGCGTATCAATGAGACGCATGCTGCATATATGCCTCTTCATTATGCTTTGCTTTTTCCTAGAGGTGAATATGGGTGGAATTGGGGCCAAAGACTGCAATCGTCAGCGCAAACTGCTGATGCCATGATTATTGAGAGCGAAGAAGATGAGACACCAGCAGAGCAACAACAACAACAACAACCACAAGTGTCAGATAGCCGACTTACCCAAGGCGTGTTCTACAGATTTCGATTGCATGTTAGAAACAACGAGTCAAAGATCATTTTTTTGTCAAGACGTCTATTTCAACAATATGTGATTGATGCCTGGGCAATCTGTGAGCAAACAAAACTGAACTGGATCAAAGTCAATCAGACGAATCTTCGCGCTGATGTGTATAAAGGACTTGCTGATGCTACCTCTGCTGCTGACTCAGACCTCGAACAGGTGGGAAAGACGTTCATCTTGCCCAGTAGCTTCACTGGTGGACCGCGATTCATGATGCAGCTATATCAAAATGCAATGGCTATCTCTAGATTCTTTGGTAAGCCAACGTTATTCATCACATTTACTGCCAACCCAAACTGGAGGGAGATCCAAGATGAATTGTTGCCAGGCCAAACAGCCGCTGATCGCCCCGACTTGGTTGCTCGAGTATTCAACCTTAAGCACCGAGAGCTGCTTAAAGACTTGAAAGACAGAAAGGTCTTTGGCTGTTATAAAGGCATTGTAAGGACTATTGAGTATCAAAAGCGTGGTCTCCCTCACGGTCATATGCTATTGTTTTTGGATGCAGAAACAGATAGATTTGATACGCCAGAGAGGATTGATCAGATCATTTGCGCTGAGATCCCAAATGTTGAAGAAGAACCTGAATTGCATGCAATCATCACTCGCAATATGATGCATGGCCCATGTGGCGAGCTAAACTCAAAGTCTCCGTG